GGAGGGCTTTGTGGTGCAGATCCTTGAACACAAAGAACTGGCATCCCTGTAATCTACAAACTGAAGGGAAAGGGTAGTGAAGACTCACTTCCTTTGCCTGTCTTCAATGTTTCATTCACCTCCTACCAAGTCGGGCAATGCCCTGCTGCTGGGTCCCCCACACCCTGCCTGCCCCTACCCTAGGCTCCTTTCCCAGGCTCTGCGTTTCCACTCGGCCATCAGTGGAGAGATAGTTGTTTATTTGTTTTGAGACAGGGTCTTTCCTAGTTTGCATCTCTGTTGTTGTGATAAAACATTGACAGAAAAAAAAATGACTCCAGGATACAAGAGTTTGATTCGTCTTAGAGGTCACAATTCATCATTGAGGGAAGTCAGGGCAAGAGCTTAGGGCAGAAACTGAAACACAAACTGTGGAGGGAATCTGCTAACTGGCTTGCTCCACAAGGCTCACTCAGCCTGCTTTCTTATATAGACTAGGACTACCTGCCTAGGGAGTGGCACTGCCCATAGTGGGCTGGGCCCTCCCACATCAATCATTAATCAAGAAAATGCCTCAGACTTCTCCACAGTCCAACCCAATGGAGGTAATTCCTCAATTGAGACTCCTTCTTTCCAGATGACTCCAGCTTATGTCAAAGTGAAAAAAACTAATCATCACAAGGTCTCAGTATATAGCCCAAGCCAGCCTGGAACTCAAAATCCTCCTGCTGCAGCCTGCCAAGCACTGGCATTATAGATATGGCCTCCACAGTTGGTGAGGAGTATTCTTTTTCATTTTTCTGATTTTTAAATTTTATTGCATGTGCACGAGTGTTTTGCCTGCATGCATGTACGTGCACCATGTTCATGCCTGGTGCCTGCAGAGACCAGAAGACGGTATCAGATCCCCAGGAACTGGAGTTATAAAAAAGTTGTGAGCCACTATGTGGTTCTGGGAACCAAACTTAGATCCTCTGCAAGAGTAACAAGTCCTTTTAGTCAGGGAACCATTTCTCCAACTCCACTTATTATTATTAGTTTTGTTTTTTGTTTTTCAAGACAGGGTTTCTCTGCTGTCTTGGAACTTGCTTTGTAGACCAGGTTAGCCTCGAACTCACAGAGATCTGCCTGCCTCTGCTTCCCAAGTGCTGGGATTAAAGGTATGCACCACCACTGCCTGACTTCCATTTATTATTTTTAATTATTTTTTAAATAAATTTTTGAATGTTGCCCTTTTTTATTTTACTTTTATGTGTGTGAGTATTTTGCCTGCATGAATGGCTGTGCACCACATGCGTGCCTTGGTGCCTAGGGAGGCCAGAAGAGGGTGTTGGAACTTCTGGACTTGGAGTACAGGCAATGGTGAGCCACCATTTGGGTGCTGCGAGGTAAACCTGGCTCCTCTGGGAGAGCAGCGGATGGTGAGCCATCTCTCAAGCCTGAGTGCTCTTAAGTATAAATAAATGGTCCATTCTTGGTCATGGGATTGGCCAAGGCTTCATGAAACTTCTGGGACTCCATCAGCCTGGTCCCTCACTGCTGGCAACTGCTCTGTTTGTTCTTAGGACAAAAAAAAAGGGTGCTATCATTTCATTCTGCAATTGGAAATACTGAGGGACAGGGAGAATGTCTCAAGGCAACAAAGTTGAAGCAAGGTCTGAACGGGCCATAAGGGCAGCTGGCCCCTCTCTGCTGTGTGCCAGGCACAGAGTCTGGCTGTGGGACCCAGGAGCAGAACTGGGAGGTTGAGGGGGAGGGGATTGTCATCTTCACAGAGGGACATGGCTGCCCTTGGCCTTGAGGGGCCTCCAGTCTGGTGGGGCAGCCAGACTGCAGGGTGCCGGGAAACAAGACCGACAGTGTTTGTTCAGCTGTTGGGCTGGCGCCGTTGCCCTAACCAGGACCCGGTCTCTCTGGAGTTAACACATGCACTCCTGTCCTCACAGAGCCTGCTCACACAGTGACTGCTCCTGAGCAGATAGCGATTTCTACAGAAGTCATCATGGGCAAGCCAGTGGGCTGTAGGTGAGACTGTGCTGGAGGCCTGGGATTGGGGGAAGGGGAGGATGGAGTGCTGACTGAGCAAGTTAGGCATTGGCCAAGCACAGCGGCCTCTAATAGAGGAAGCTTGAGTAGCTACCCCATCCTACTGACAAGGACCAAGCAAAATTCCATATAAAGAGGTCTGGGGATTGCCGAGGTCAGCCTTCGGGAGATGCCTGGGTGGGTGACATAGATCTGGAAATCCCACAGAGGCAGTTGCCAGGTCCCCGAAGAAGCCAGCCTGGCCACTGAAATGGTCCTCATCAGGGAGACCAGGCATCAAGGTTATTCTTCACAGAAGCCAGAGGGCACAACACCACTGAATCCAGATCAGGGGGATCTCACTTTACCATTCACCCTTCATCCTCTGACTCTTCTGACATCGGTCATATACCATCAAGGGTTGTGTCAAGTCCTTGCTCCGAGGTAGGGACTATGGCAGCTCCATGGTGCCACAGAGGTGCGACATGGGTGCAGGGCTGGGCTGGAGGAGCTTTTGACTTGGTACTGAGGGAATCCAGCTCATGGGTAGTCGCCCCTTTGGGGCCATTACCTTGCCAATCCTGAGTAAGAACACCTCCAGACTCCAGCTCCTGGCCACCTGCAGCTGAGGCCCCCAGCCAGGAGGACCAGAGGCTGGGGATTTTCACTGCAGCCCATAGGGGTCATAAGTGTTAAAAGTGGCTGCTGGGGTAGGGTAAAGTGCTTGGTTTGGCACATACTAGAACCTCCATAAAAAGCCAGCGTGGTGACCAGAGCCCGTAATCCCAGCAATGGAGAGGTGGAGGCAGAAGGCTCCTCGGGGCTTGCTGGCCCAGCCAACCTGGCCTACTTGGAGAGCTCCAGGCTAATGAGGACCCTTGCTCACAAAGTGAGGTGAGTAGTTCCCGAGGAACGACACCTAAGATTGACCCTTGGCCTCTCCATGCACACACATACATAGGCACCTGGACATATATGAACTTGCCTGTATCCCCCACTCCCCCACCCACACACAGACATACACACACAAAACCCCATGGCTCTTGTCAGGGTCTGTTTAGGGGTTCCCTCTTACACAGTACCTGGAGCTGACCCCATGGTACAGACTGGTGCCAGGTATCTTGGCCACTACTGTGAGAGGTGACTGCTGTGAGTGCTAGCTTCAGGGAGTATAGTGGGCAGACTGGATGCCTAGCTTGTGTGCCATGTTCCAGGCAGAGCCCAGAGCCCTTGGCTTTAATGCTGCCATCGTCCTGGTCCCTGGCCTGCATGGAGCTATCTCCTGCTAAGGGAGAAAGGAATAAGGGCTTCAAGAAGATGGGTGAGGATAGAGTGGCATCTTTTATCCATGGCAGTGGGTGAGGCCTGAGCCATTGGCTCTTCCAGCAATGTTAGGGCCACTGGGTAGGCGGAGACAGCCACACTGAGTGAGGCTTTCAGGGCCTCGTGTGCCAGCTGCCTGGACCACAGCAAGGCTGGGAGCGGAGGTGGCCATGTCAGGGGCTGGGGGAGACAGAAGTGATGGTACCTGGACGGAGGGTTAAGTCTCCCCACATAAGCTCTGCAGACATCTGGTGGCAAAGATGTGTCCCAGGGCCCCACATTCCTGTCATAGGGTCAGAGGAATAATCCACAGCCAGAACGTGGGGGCAGACGGCATGGCCGTTCTCTACCAGGGTTTGCTGCCTCTCCAGCACGCCCTCTGTCGGCTAGAAGAGCGGCAGCAGAAGCCTGGACCCTCAACCAGGTGCCCAGGTGGTTGTGGGGATGGAAGGATGCTCTGTGACAGGCGTGGGCCCCGGGGCCTGGCAAGCCTGATTTGGGATTTTACCCAGAGTGCCCCAGCAGGCCAGCCCCATCAACCCAAGCTGTACCTCAGCATGAAAGGGCTCCCTAGACCAGTGATTCTCAACCTTCCTAGTGCTGCGACCCTCCCAGACAGTTCCTCATGTTGTGGTGACCCCCAACCATAAAATTATTCTTATTGATACTTCCTAACTGTAATTTTGCTACTGTTATGCATCATAATGTAAATATTTTTGGACACAGAAGTTTGCCAAAGGGGTCGCAACCCACAAGTTGAGAACTGCTGCCCTGGAGGAACAGGAAGCATAGACAGACAGACACATAGATGATAGATAAAAGGAAAAAAAAGGTCTCTATGGATCTACATGCAGTTAATGGTTGCTGAGAGAGGGACATTTTCTTCAGTGGTGTGGTGTTGTGGAACATTATTTTAACTAGGTAAAGATTGTTACATTTGTTTACGCTGCGGAATATTAGTTTAACTGTGTAAAGATGTGTTACTTTTGTTTCTGCTGCATTTGTTTAATTATGTAAAGGTGTGTTGCATTTGTTTCACCTTGCCTGCCTAAGGCACCTGATTGGTCTAATAAAGTGCTGAACGGCCAATAGCTGGGTAGACAAAGGATAGGTGGGGCTGACCGGTAGAGAGAGAATAAGTAGGGGGAGAAATCTAGGCTTGAGGGGAATGAAAGACAAATGAGAGGAGGAGGGATGAGAGAATCAGGGACACACCCGGGTCCAGAAGCCACCAGCCAGCAGACATGAGAAGCAGTGAGAGCAAGGTATACAGAAGAAAGACAGGTAAAAAGCCCCGAGGCACAAGGTAGATAAAGAGAAACAGGTTCATTTGAGTTAAAAGAGCTAGCCAGAAACGAGCCTAAGCTAGGCCGAGCATTCAGACCTAATAATAAGTCACGATTTGGGAGCTGGTTGGTGGCCTAAAAGAAAAAGCCTGGGAGAGGGCAGCCATGGGTGAGTTATGCTCCTGAAAACAATCCCAATGATACCCATTGATTTTCATCAAAGAAAGTAAGTAGAGGGAGGCTAGCTGAGAAGAGAAAGAGGTCCAGTGGGCATGGAAGCAGAGAGGATAAGAGGAGGCATCATCAAAATATATTACACACGTGTATGAAGATATCAAAAGAAAACCCATTATTATTATAATGGATATATGCTAATAAACCTTTTTAGAAAGAGATTTATTGGATTGGCTTACAGTAAAGGGGCTGGGTAGTCCAATAGTGACCTTCTACATTCTGGAGAGGCAGAGAGCTCAGTCCCGGCAGCAGAACACCTGAGCAGACCCAACCCAAGGCTGAAAGCTTGGGCCCTCCCAGGAAAGGGGCTGATGTGGAGTACACAGTGAGGGGCTGAGGAAGCTGGAGTCCGATGGCAGCAGGTGGCAGCAGTGATTCGTAAACTCCTCAGGACAGAAAAAGACTTTATCAGCTTATACCACCTTCCTCGCCTGAGCCCTTTCAGAGCTTGAAGGTGTCGCCCCTGTTCAAGGCAGGGCATTCCTCCACTCCTTGTCACTGTCCTGAATGTCAGTCCTCTCTGAAAGGACTCCACAGATCCACAGGTGTAAGTCTTAGGCCAGTCTCCCAGCTTTTTAAAAAAAATAAATATGAGTGTTTGCCTACATGTATATATGTAGAGAGGCCAGAAGAGGATGTTGGATCTCCTGGAACTGGAGTTACAGATGGTTGTGAGCTACTGTGTGGGTGCTGGGAACTGAACCCTGGTCCTCAGCAAGTGCTTTTAACCCTGAGGCATTGCTCCAGCCCCCTAAGGATTTCTTAACTCAGTCTGGTTGACAACCAGAGAAATTGTCACAAAGGGACCCATGTCACCCTTGTGATGCTCCAACTCCCTGGCACTTTCCCCCAGATGGAGGCTTCAGAATCAAAACCTCATGAATAGGAATCTATAAGCTACCACCTCCCACTTTGCCTCGGCTGCAAAGGTTCAAACCTGTGAGCTCTGTGGCCAGCATTCTTTCCTCTTTCCTCCTGGCTTCTGTTTTAAATACTCATCCTGTGGCATCTTTGTTGCTTCCAAAGTAACTCTTACTCCGCCCTCTCAGATTGTCTGTCCCTCTGACTTATCCATGCCCCTTTCCTTTAAAATTCCACCCCCTTCCAGAAGCCAGTTGCATGTGCCTGGGGAATACTCAACTCCAAGCCCAGAGCCCCTGTGCCTACTCATCTTGGAGTCAGGGTCCTCTGCTGTCCAAGTTTCTTGGGAGGCTGAGAGAATGGAGGAATTTTAAATGGCAAAGACCTGTTCCCTGCAGGCCTTGCATGGCAGGGACAGCATCATTTCTGTAATCTCTGTCTCTTTCTCTGGTGTGAGTGGTTCTGCACATGCATGCGTGGGCACACGTACGTAGAGGCTAAGGTTGATGTCAACGCTGGGCATCTTCCTCTGTCACTCTTCATTTTCTTTTCTAGGACAAATTCCCTCACTGGACCCAGAGCTCACTGATTTGGCTAGCCCAACTCTTGTTTTGTTTAGATGGGTCGGGGGAGGGTCTTATTTAGCCCAGGGTAGCCTCAAACTTGCTACATAGTTGAGGGTGACCTTGAACTCAGGGTCATCCAGGCTCTATTGCCCTAGTGTGGAGATTACAGATGTACACCACCCTGCTGTGCTTAGCCTGTTCATTGATGGTTTCATTCATCTTTTCTAGTGGCCTGGACCCTCCTGTTCAGTGGCCCCCTCTCATCAGGGAGTGGACCTGTGTTCTGGGATGTTGAGGGATGTGAAGGGTTATGGTAGAGGGCCTTCTGGGAGACCATTCAGGGAGCCCATGGCCTCTTTGCCAAGTGGGTATGGCCACGAGTGCACCTACCTGATATGGAGAATGGGCCTCTGTACCCAGGACTGGTGCCCTACCCACCCTTGCTGCAGAGTCCCAGGCATCTGTGGAGGCAAAGCAGAGAATCTAGTCTGTCTTCCCCCCAAAAACCCAGGACCCTGTACATTTCAAGCAAGTACTCTGCCACCGAGGCACACCCTCAGGCCTTTAAAAAGATTCAGTTCTGAGGTAGTGCCTGACTATGTAGCTCAGGCTGGATCTTCCTGCTTTGGGATCCTAAGTGTTGGGATTCCAGGCATGTGCCACCACAGCCAACTCCAGTCGGCTTTTCATCTAAACGATACTTTGAAAAGTGAGACAGACAACATTTGAAGGGAAATTAACAGAAAATTCTAGAAACAAGGCACCTAGCCAGAGTGAGTCTGTACCCCCAAATAATGGCTATATATGGAGGTAAGGAGCTGGTGCCTAGCCCAGTACTTATGAGACAAGGCTCAGGACCCCAACAGCATGCTGAGAGGCAGGGCTGGCCAGGACTTCATGCCTGGGGACTCTAGAGTGTGGGTGTCCTGTGGGATCCACTGAGGGCCAGGAGAGAAGGGCACCCATAGAAGCTATAATCACGAGTGTGTGACCCAGAGTGTCCTGGCCCCTTAACAGACATGGTGGCCAAATCGGGGTCCCAGAGCACCCCTACTAGAACAGGTACCTTCAGACCAAACACCATACTGGGGCAGGGGCAGCACTTTATCTTACGAGGTCAGACAGTCAGAGTGGATGGATGAATACAGCCAGTTTCTTCCAGCTGAGACCCGCCATTTTTCTTTATAATTGTCCATGCAGGAAGTGGTCTTTGAAGTTTGGTGAATGGAATAGGGAGGGAGGGAGGAAGGGAAGGATGAGAGATGGGGGCAGAAAGAATATGACTCAGGGCAGGAGCCATGGAACAAGGAGACCTGTGAGTCCTCAGGCAGGACATCTGTACGCTACCACCCTCACCCCAGGGTACAGTGTCCAAATTCCCATGGATCCAGCGGCTGGACATGTTCCTCTCGGATGAGGAACTGGCCAGGACTGAAGTCAGTTCTCCTTAGATTAGGGCTGGGCTGCTTCCCTTGGTCTTCTGTACTGTGTCCAGGCTGAGAAGTGACCCAAATCCTCCGATGGGATGGCGCTCAGGGGTTCGGGCAAGCGAATAGATGGAAAGACAGAACAGTGACCAGCACCCCTCTCCCCACATCCAGCTTCCACGTCCCAGACCCCACGCATGGCTGACTGACTGGGGAGGGCTCAGGGCTCAGGCTGCCTCTGCAGCCCTGCAGCCTCCCAGTCCACAGTCCACACAGGCCCCACCCGCCCTGGGCAGCAGCTGCTTCCGGCCAGACAAGCAGACAATGTGCTGGCGGGTGGCCCGGGGCCAGGACCATCCATCCCCCAGCAACACAGGAAGACAGAGCACAGAAGAGGAGCCACTGTGTCCCCGAGTGAACCCACTGCCCGGGCACAGTGATTTAGATTCCAGGAGGAGGAGCCTCAAGGGTGAATCAAATCAAACTGATTCCTCCAGCCTTGAACCCTGGCACAGTGCCTGGGAGATGGAGGGGAGTAGAGGAGGTCAGAAATCTTGGCTTTGTCTTTCTTCTCTTTTCTCAGACCCTGCAAGCCTTCCCTACCACAGGGCCCTTGCACGGCCATGCCCTCTGCACTTTATCTAGGGCTGTTGAAATTGCGCCATCCAGGTCTACTCCAGCGGCCTCACTCTGGTCCACATTCTTCTCCTCCCTGCTTAAGTCCCTTCTGCCCAGGCATTCTTGTCCAAGGGCTGCCTGTCGCTTCTACCGGGCCCTCCCCTCCTCTGTCCCTGCCCACCTGCCTGGCACGGGCACCTCCTGAGCCCACACAGCACATTTCACAGTGCTTGCTCTTTTGTTGCCCTCTTCATCCTTCAGAAACACCTGGAAGGACAGAAGCTGCCCAGGAAGGTCTTAGCACAAAACCCGTGCGCTGCTGGGCGGTGGTGGCACACTTCTTTAATCTCAGCACTCGGGAGGCAGAGCCAGGAGGATCTCTGTGAGTTTGAGGCCAGCCTGGTCTACAGAGTGAGTTCCAGGACAGGCACCAAAACTACACAGAGAAACCCTGTCTCGAAAAACAAAAACAAAACAAAACAGACAGACAGACAAAAAAACCCAAAACAACAACAACAAAAAACATACGTGTACTTAGTAGGTTCCCACAGAAGACAGATAGATTGCTGAATAAGTGCACTTAGTAGGTCCTCACAGAGGGCTGATAGATTGCTGAATAAGTTGGTTCCGGCAGCTTCCAGGATGTTCTGGGCTCTCCCTGGCAGGCCCGCCCTACCCAGTGGGGTCCGTCCATCTTTGCCATTTTGGTCCTGGCCTCTTAGATGTGAGGATGGCTGGAAGGTCTCGCCTCAAACCCTGGCGATGAACTCTCAAGGAAAGAATGCACCCCACTTGCCTGGCCTTACAAAGAATTGAAGCACAGTGAGATACCACTTCCCACATACTAGGATGTTACAATAACAATAGCAAATGATACAACGATAATAAAACACAATGAGAAAGAAAAGAAGCTAGCAGGGGGGAGGGTGGAGAACCACGCTCACACGGTGGCTGCAAGACCGTGAAATGGCCATGCCAGGAAGCCCCTCAGAAAGGGCAACATGGAACACTACTATGTGGCCAGCAAGCCCACTTCCAAACCTGAGTCCTGGAGAGGTAACAGTAGGGGCCAGATCAGACTCCTGAGTACCAGAGCTCACAGATGCCCAAAGGGCCTAGGTGAGGGGAATGTCCAGAGACAAATGCATGGATGACCATTCTACACAGTCCCTAGGTAGCCACCTGGGGGCTGGGTTGGCTGCTGCTGTTCCCATTCCAGCACCCTGAACCTCAGGGGTAGTGCCGTAGCTTGTAGACCCCTCAGCCCCCAAGAACTGTAGCTTCAAATACTCGCCCTACCAGTATTCGTGGGGATCCAGCCCTGTTCCTGAAATCACATCCCTGCTTGGGTCTTTGCAGGCCAGCACTAACGTGGTCCCCATGAGTCATCCCTAGAGCCCTCAGGTAGGCACCATGACAGAGAGGCAAAGGCTTTGATGGCCACACAGCCTTTTGTGACAGCCAGGCCCTCAAGACTCCAGAATCTGCACTCGTTACCCTGCCTCAGGAATGTGGGCTCCAGCTCCATGGCCTGCCTGCTCCATGGCCAGGACCTAGTGTGCCTGTTCCCTGCTGCAGAGTGCCCTCTGGTGGAGCTATTGGGAGTTGTCAGGCCATAGAGAAGAAATCCAGAACAGATTCATGAAGGTCAAGGACATGTGGAGGGCCGCAGGGTAGAAGCTGGCCAGGAGCTAGAGCTGCCTGAATCATCCATCCAACCCTCTCTATAACTTCCATGGAAAATGGGTCCAAGCTGTGGGTCTTTCCCAGATGTGGGGAGGACAGATCCAGCTTGCAAACTGGACTCCACAGAAGACACTGCCACCCATCTCATTCTCAAAAGCACCACCACTGCCAACAATGTCTTCCCCATCGCCGACATCATCACCATCACCACATCATCACCACCACTGCCATCATTACCATCACCATCATCACCCATCTGTCACCACCATCGCCACCATCACCTTAACACTTGACAGTATTTAAACTCACATAGGAAACAAACCTGTGGGAATCCTTACAAAGGCATTTACAGAAAGGTTTTACTGAGTAGAAGACCCACCTTGCATGTGTGTGACACCATTCCATGGGCCACAGACCTAGACTGAATGTGACCAGCTTCCTCATGTTCTTGCTATCATGCCTTCCTTGTCAGGATGGACTATAGCCCTTCTTCAACTACAAGCCTGTGATGATTTGAATAATAATGGCCCCCACAGGCTCATACATTTGAATGCTTAATCACCAGTGAGTGGAACTCTTTGAAAGGATTAGAAGGATGAGGAGGTGTTGTAGTTGGTAGGTTTCTCCGGTCCTGCCTGGCCCCGTAGCCACTCAGACCCAAGTCCACACACAGAGGCTTATATTATTTACCACTGCTTGGCCATTAGCTCAGGCTTATTACTGATTACTTATTACTAGCTCTTACACTTAAATTAACCCATAATTCTTATCTATATTTAGCCAGGTGGCTTGTTAACTTTTCTCGGTTCTGCCTTGTCATCTTGCTTCCTCTGTGTCTGGCTAGTGACTCCTGACTCAGCCTTCCTCTTCCCAGCATTCTCCTTGTCTGCTTGCCCTGCCTATACTTCCTGCCTGGCTACTGGCCAATTAGCATTTTATTAAACCAGTGTACAAGAGCATTATCTCACAGCATTTCTCCTTTTCTGTCTAGTCAAAAAGGAAGATTTTTAATTTTAACATAGTAAAATTACATATAATAGAACAGTTATCAAGCAAGAATTATATCTATGACAGATGTTCTATTTGTATTTGGTAAAATTAAAGAAAATATTCTATCATCTATCCTATTTGTGAGTCTAAAGTTTCATATCTAATTTACTTTTATCATAACCAAGGAAAATTATAACTATAACTATTTAGTCTTCAACTACATCAGAGACCCCAGAAGGATATAATAATACCTAAGTAAACAGGAAGTACACTGTAAGCAACTTCCAAAATTCAAGAATGACAGAGACAGCTGGCTGCCTGGACAATCACCCAAAGTTCTTCTGCAACGTTGGGGCATCCATATCCAGCCTACAGGCCTAGAGTTTTTTTAGTCACTTCTCCCTGTGTCCTATAGAATATCTGGCAGTCTCCTCTGCAAAGCAGGAACCTTAAGGACCATCTCATCTTGCAAAGTTTAGTAGTCACCTTCCTATGGGTCCTACATGTCCAGTAGATACAACATTTTGTCAATCAGTCCAGGCAAGGACAATTTCTTGCTCAAATGACCATTTTTGCCAAGAAGAAGATAAACTCCATATGGAGTGTCTTTGATGCCCATCATCTTCCTTGAAGATGCAATTGGTACTGCCAGGAGCAGATGTGTCTCATTGTCCAGAAAAGTCTAAGTTTTTAAAACATTTTAAATGCCATATTCTATAAGTCTTTGAAGTGTTTGAAGATTACCTATCTAATTGAAATATATCTATGTACACCTAAAAAACTTAACTAACATGATTATAAGTTTAATTATCATAGATGACTAATAATCTGAATTTCTTAATTATACATTACAATTTCAAATGAGCTGCACAAACATAATACCTTAAACAAGAGTAGAAATATACATAGAGTAAAACAATTAACTTTAAATTTGAAATAAACTAAAATCTATAGCAATTTTAAATAAGTTGTTGCTCTTTAAAAGTGGATTCAATAATCTACCCTTTCACCCTATCATATCTATATCATATCCCCCTTTTTTCTTTTAGAAAGATATTGACTATGACCAATAACAATTTGTAACCAATTTCTAACAAAGACAAATATCCATAATTCAGTTTTTGAGAATGTGGGTGTAGTTTTCTAGGCTACTTCCTACTGATTGTGGGCACTGGTAGTCTTATGAGGACACAAAGACAATTTTAGGATTATGGTCAAGTCCTGACTGGAGTAGTCTGTGATGCTGTGTTCTCTGAGCCAGTTGCCTTGAAGTTGATTTTGGATGTTGGATCATTTAGGCCATGGTGTCATCAGCGACCTTTCAGAGGATCTTGGCTGATCAAACCATATTAGCCTGGAAGCAATCCATAGGTTCTCATCTCCTGTGGAAACAAAAGCAGAACCTCTTTTCCAAAGCAATGTATCCTTAGACACAAATTTTGAAGTCAAGATACCTTTAAAAAATATATATATTGGTTTAACTCAGCAGCTTTTACAATCAAATATCTTTCTGCAGTTAAAAAGCCCAATGACAACACAATCCAGATTCTCTATGTAATATTCATCTTTACGCGGCTTATTTCTTATATTACTTTTACTGTCTCTTTAAAGACTTTATTTATTTATTTACTTATTTATTTATTTTGGTTTTTCGAGACAGGGTTTCTCTGTGTAGCTTTGTGCCTTTCCTGGAACTCACTCTGTAGCCCAGGCTGGCCTTGAACTCACAGAGATCTGCCTGGCTCTGCCTCCCGAGTGCTGGGATTAAAGGCATGCGCCACCACTGCCTGGCAAGACTTTATTTTTTAAAACTATTTTTTATAGCCGGGCGGTGGTGGCGCACACCTTTAATCCCAGCACTCGGGAGGCAGAGCCAGGCGGATCTCTGTGAGTTCGAGGCCAGCCTGGGCTACCAAGTGAGTTCCAGGAAAGGCGCAAAGCTACACAAAGAAACCCTGTCTCGAAAAACCAAAAAAAAAAAAACAAAAAAAACAAAAAAACAAAAAAAAACCTATTTTTTATATAACTGTCTACATTCCCTTTTCTCTCTCTTCCAAGCCTACATAGGTTTTTACACACACTGTAAACAGTTGAGAGTTTTATTCCATCTGAACCTGTCTTATTGTGAATCTATAATCCTTCTCTGACCAGGAGAGATTTTAAACTGTTAAACTGCATGGCTAGGACAAAAAGTGGCAGCCTTGGCTGCTGACCTCACCTCAGTTTCCCAATATGGCAGTGGTACATTTACCGCCAGCTCTGGGAACCATGCTCACCACCAAGTCTGGGAAGCAGTGGGTCTGTGCCTCCATCAAGGAGCTGAAGCCCAGAAACCTTTTTTTTCTCCTTTGGTCTGTACTAGCAAAAGCTACATCCACCATGCAGTGCACTGCATGGCTTGGAGACACCTCTGTATCTCTGTGTACCTCGACGCCATGCTGTGGCTCAAGCCCACATACCACGAACCTGCCATAGTGTAGCTCATGGCTTGTCTGAGAGACACATTCAGGAAGCTGTTTTTAGCTCCAGTTTAGAATCTTTTTATTACGTTCTCTCAAGTTTTAGGTGGAAACTCGAGCCAACACATTGGGTAGCAAAATGTAGTTGAAAGTTTTCTCTGGGCAGGACCTGAGAAACCTTCTGACTACAAGGTGTGGCCTTGTTTGAGGAAGTGTGCCACTGCAGGTGGGCTTTGAGGCTTCAAAAGCCCATGCCAGGCTTAGGCTTGCTCTCTCTTCTTGTATAATATTAGCAGGACCAGCCTTAATATTATACATCCTAGAGGCCCAGAAGAGAGAACTACTAGCGGCGAGGATTATTTTCAGGAAATAGAATCTCAGCACACTGAGCTCTATAGTCCACTTGATTTAATTCTTCTGGCATAACATCCTATATACACAGCTTCAGTTCTGTTCTTGTGCCTAGCTCCTTTCTTGCCTGATTTCTCTATTACTCCCTCTAAGTTCTATCTTAATTCTCTCGTCTTAATTCTGCCTCAACTAGGTCCTTTTCATCTTGTTCTTACCCAGCTAGTACTTTCCCATCTGGCTCTTCCTCATCTTCCATCTCATTCCTCTAGTACTCTCTTCTAGTCTTTCAATCTAGTTCTTCCCCATCTCAGTTTGTTCCTCTCAAGTTCTTACCCATCTAGTTCTTCCATTCTCTTTTCTCTTCTCCATCCTCGTGCCCTGGAAGTCCTGGTATATAAAGCCAGGCTTCCAGGGTCAAACAGAGGGGTGATAAGAATCACATTGAGAAGCAATAACCATTAATTATCATTTGCAACCTCAAAGGGAAGTGACCAATGGGGAAATGAATTAACTAAAGGCTAAATTCGAGTAATTTATCTAAGGAAAATATCTAAGAAGAGGGAATCTTATATGCTCAACTATAGTCTTAAACGTGATTAGTAGAAAATGTTAAGAATCTATATGTTGTTAGGTCAATGGGAGAAAATAAAACTGTCTTCTTTTTTCCTGTGGCTCCTATCTGTCCAAGCTATCTGCCATTTTTCTGCAGGGTGGGGGAAAGTGTGCTCAGTCGCTAGGCAACCTGTGTAAGTTAGATGCCTCTGGTGATAGTTAAAGGGAGATCTGGAACTAAAGGTAAGGTTTGGGAAAGGAACAGATAGCCTGGATACTTAAGTCTGTTCTAGAGAGTACAGAGGTATCTCTGCTAAGGTACTTTCCTCCAACTGGGGATGGACCTGGCCAGATGCTGCCAGTGATGATAATTACTGGGAGGCTTGGACTGGGGTTCTGGCTGAGCATAGCTGTCAGCACAGAAAATTATCCAAGTATTCCTAGAAGTGGTTAGGTAAGGAATTAGAGGTCTATAAAGTTAGTAAGGCTATAAGAAAGGAGGGTCCGAGCTGAATTTCATAAAACTATTACTTAATGTCCACCTGACCTAGGTGGTGTCTCCTTGTGGAATTTACCTTAAATCAGGAGACTTTCATGTGGACTGTTATTACTGCTAGTCCTTGAAAGTGGCCAAGGCAGATATCTGATTCCAGAGAAAGCCGTTCCTGAGGCTGTTCTCTAAATACCTGGAATGTGTATGTCCAGAGAGTGATCAGTCCACACTGTTAGCCCTTCTTGTGGAAAAGTCAATTGGGAAAACTATGAAGGCACACATGATTTTCATAACAGAAGACAGCTGATATATAACAAGCCAAGTAACACCAAAGGCTCCTTGGAATTTAGCTTCCTCTGGAGGAATTCCCTGATTCCTCCAGGTAGTGACTTTGCCATAACCAGCTGAGTTCTTATGATATATTCCTGCGGCTTGCAGCACTCTCTCTGACTACAGATCAGGATGTAGCTCTCAGCTACTGCTCCAGCACCTGCATGCATGCTGCCATGCTCCCCACCAATGGACTAAACCTCTGAAACCGTAAGCAAGCTCCTAATTAAATGCTTTCTCTTCTAAGAGTTACTTTGGTCATGGCATCTCTGAACAGTAATATTAAGACAAAAGAGACCCTTCATGTTTACCTCCTCTGCCACATGCTTCCATTGCCAAAACATTCTGCCGGAGTGTATAGAGGCAAGCAAGGGCTAAACCCTCTGAATGTGTGAGCAAAAATATTTCTTCCTCTTTTAAGTTGTTTATATCAGGTGTTTTATGACACCAACGAGAAACGTGACTAATAAAACTATCATCACACATCACCATCATACATCCTCACCATCACTATCATCACCAGAACACATCATCAGACATCACTATCATCACCATCATTATCATACATCATCACCATCATCACACACACATCATCACATCAAACATCATTATCATCACAAATCATCACATTACACATCATCACCATCATCATACATCATCACACATCATACATCATCACACATCACCATCATACATCCTCACCATCACTATCACCACCAGAACACATCATCAGACATCACTATCATCACCAGAACACATCATCAGACATCACTATCACCACCAGAACATATCATCAGACATCACTATCATCACCATCATTACCACACATTACCACATCATACATCATCACCATCATCACACACACATCATCACATCAAACATCATTATCATCACATTACACATCATCACATCATGCATCATCACCATCATCATACATCATCACACATCACCATCATACATCCTCACCATCACTATCATCACCAGAACACATCATCAGACATCACCATCACCACCAGAACACATCATCAGACATCACTATCATCACCATCACTATCACATATCACCATATCACACATCATCACCATCATCAAACATCATCATCACATCATCACCATCACAAATCATCACATCACACATAATCACATCATGCATCATCACCATCATCACACATCATCACCATCATATATCATCACACATCACCACCATTACCATCACACATCATCACACATCACCACCACCACCACTGTCACCATCATCCATCATCTCTATCACCATGACTACTACTGTCATCACTATCACTGTGATTAGTCAAGCTTCTCTCAAAGAGCAGAACCAGTAGAACGTGTATTGGCTATAAAGGAGAGTTACTGGATTGACTTTCAAGAAAGAGCCTGGATGATGGTTCATCCATGGCCATCTGCATTCAGGAGAACCAGAAAACCCAGTAGCTGCTCAGCCGGAGAAGCTGGGAACTTCAGAACAAGGTGGGTCAAGGATACAGTCCCAGACTGAGACTGAAGATCTGGAAGTTCCCTGGTCGATGGTAGAGTCTGTACTGAAAGAGTGAAGAAGTCGGAGTCTGCTATCATGGGCAATGGCAGCCACAAGAAACACACTCGCCCGAGAAGGATGCACTGGTTGGCTTCCTCATTTCCCACTTTATTCCATCCAGGCCCCTAGCCTATAGGATAGTGCTGCCTACATTCAGGGTAGGTATTTCCCCCTCAATTGCTGCTCCACATATTAATCATCTCTGGAAACACCCAGAAATGTGCTTTGCTCACTCCCTACTATTCCAGTTTCATCTCTGCTGCTGTGATAAATTATCCTGACAAAAAGCAACTTACAGGAGGAATGCATTACAATTCCAGGTCACAGTCCATCCTTACAGGGAAGTCAGGGAGAAGGAACTGGAAGCAGCTGGTCACACCGCACTCACACATAAGAGCAGATAGAATGAATGTGCGCATGACCCCTTGTGCTCAGGTTCCTTTCTACACTTACATGGGCCAGATCCCTTGCCTAGGGGATGGTGCTGCCCACAGTGGGCTGGATGTCCCACATCAGTTAACAATTAGGACAGTCTTGCGCAGACATATTTACAGATTAATCTGATCTAAATGATCCCACATTGAGACTCTCTCCCAAGTGATTCTAGGTTGTGTCAAATTGACATCATGACACCTAGTCACCTCTCAGTTAAGTTGCTTTATTGATACTAACCATTATAATCACCATCCCCTACCTTCACAACCCCCCTCACCTCCACCATCTCTATCACCACCATCAGTATCATCCTCACTACTACAATCACCACCACTAGAGGCCAGCAGTGGGCAGCACACAGCACCCTAGCCATGCTGTGTCTCTCACATACACTGGAGGCAGGTATCTCTCTGACTCAACGGGAGAGTCAAACAAGGTATTGTATAGATGGCCACCATCCCCAAGGCTTCCTAGGGCTTCAGAAGGGCTGAGATGGGAAGAGGGCAGTGGGGTGTGGAGATAAGGGCAGACCGTCGAAGGCTGCTTTGGTAGGGTTCTCAGGGGGGGATGGTGCCTCCAGCTCTGTGGAGGGTGCTCTGGACAATGTGCCAAGAAACAAAGAATAAAAGACCCTGGGGATGTCTTCATGGTTTGAAGGGACAGGAAACGGGTCCAAGTAAGAGGTTTTTGCGCTGCTGGGTGCCCCCAGGGAAGTATGCAGGGGCCCTGTGGGGGGCAGGGCAGCCTTTGCTGCCCATTTGCAAGTCACAAGACCAAAGCTGCTCAGTGGAGGTCATTCACCAACACTGGAGTGAAGCTGAGACCTACGTCCTCTGTACTGGCCAAGCTCCCCTTTATCCTGTCCCTCCCAGGAAGACTTGTCCAGTCAGCAGGCCTGACTCGCTCTCCGGGGCTCAGGCAGAAGTTCAGGTGAAGGAGAGAGACTACCCTGTCCCTAGCCATGTGCACCTCCTTGGGGCTGGCACTGCCCCGGCTTTTGTCAGTTTCTATGGCATCTCCAAAGGGCAAAGGCTCTGGTTCTCTGTGGCCACAGCCAGCATGGCCTATAAGAAACGCAGGGCTCTTTTCCCTCCCTCCCATGTGGTCCTTACAGGCTGGGGACCAGGCCCCTAGCCTACATGAGTAAGAACTCTCCCCCGAAAAGCCGGAAGCTTGTCCATACTCCCCACTGAAGAGGAGGGCAGCCCTTCTGAGAGAGTCTTCCCCAGCCTCCTCCAGTCAGGGGCATGGTAGACAGTGTGAGCTTCAAAGGTCTGCATCCATTTGTTCTGATTAGAAAACATCCAACAGGAAAGGCCCTTAAGATAGCTGCTTGGGTCAGAGGGAGCTGGTCAACAGAAGATGTATCACTCACTTTAATGGCTGGAGAGAGAGCTTTGTGGTTAAGAACACTGGCTGCTCTTCCAGGCGACCTGCGTTCAATTTCCAGCTCCCATAAGGCTGCTCCCAAGTGTCTCTAACACCAGTCTCTGGAGATCGATGCCCTCTTCTGGCCTCCATGGACACTGCATACACATTGTACACAGATATACATGCAGGCAGAACACACACACACACACACACACACACACACACACATCCCACAGTCACACACACATATATACACACATGCACACACACACACCACACAGTCACACACACATATATACACACATGCACACACACAAACACACATGCACACACACACACACACACACACACACACACACACACTTGACCGAAGAGGCATGAAACACACATGAATGTCAACAGAGTCAAGGAGAAAGTGCTAGCATTGGGCCATGAGCTGCACCCCACCCCCACAAGGTCCATGTTGATAGCACTGACCCCAGTAGTCAGAGATGACAGAGGAGGATGGTGTCACTCTGCTCCCTCAGTGCTTCGGCAGGGGACTCAGAGGTCCCCAGCAGGGAAGTCTAAGAATAGCCATCCACAGGCTGCCTGACACCCAGGACCTTGACTTCAAGGAGAGTTGTAGGGTACAGAGAAGTGGATATTTTCCATGTATGCCCCCGTATCTGCCTCCCATCCTTCTCTGTAACAGCTCCAGTTCCCACTGGGTTTACCATGCTCAGCTAGAAGGGGGCATATTCCAAACAGGCTTACAGCTCGGTGTGGCCACTTGGTCAACTTCTAGCCACCGAGAAGTGAAAGTGTCGGGGACATTTCGGAGTGAAGAGAGGCTGTCCTTCTGCTTACTGGGGGCTCTCTAGGGAAACAGCATGGACACCTCACTAAAGGGATGTATTAGAGGCTTACATGGCAGGGCCAGGGTAGGCCATCTATGGCCATCTGCAACCTGAGAGGTTGGGGAACCCATGAAGCTGGATGCCTCAGCCACAGCCTTGTGGCTGACGCCACAGACTGGAGAACTTTCTTGAGAGCTTCTGGTCTTCAGTTAACGTTGGGAGGCCAAAGAAGCTGGGTTCTGATGGCAATGAAGGAAGGTGGCATCATCATCATCATCATCAACAGCAGCAGCAGCAGCAGCAGCAGCAGCAGCAGCAGCAGGGTAGATGCACCCATCAGTAGGAAGCAGAGGCAGGCAGGCAGCACTACATTTCTCTCAAACTTCTTCATAGTTGGGCCACTGCCACAGGGGCTGCTCACGCTCGAGGGTATTCTACTTTCAGTTAATGCTCCCTGGAAGTACCCTCCCAGACCTTCCTCAGGCACATCTCTTAGTTCCTTTCATATCCAGTCAGGTTGACAACCAAGAGTAACTGCACACCTTCTTTGGCCCTTACTTCATCCAACATCCTGGAAGGCAGATGTGATGGAGGAACTCTCTTGTGGCCATTTTGAACTCTGAAGTGATTAGCTCTCCATGTTCAGGATGGCAACTGAGTCCTTGAGGATGTGTGTAGCCATCAGGACAGGAGCTGACAGGGCTTCAGAGTGTCCTGGACTACATACAGGAGCTGGGACTATCTATCTGCTCTGGGCTGGGAGCTAAGAGGAGCCCATGGGAACATGATAAAGGGCAGAGAAGGGTGTCAGGGGTGGAAGGACACAGGGCCACAGTGGGGACAGCATCTAAGAAAGAAGGCAAGCTGCCAAACTGCTGTGGAACAGTAGTTAAAGATGTGTTACATTCTTTCATGCCGTGGAATATCTGTTTAATAATGCAAAGATGGGTTGTATTCTTTTATGTTGCATTTGCTTAACTCTGTAAAGCTGTGTTACTTTGCCAGTCTAAAACATCTGATTGGTCTACTAAAGAGCTGAATGGCCAATAGCAGGGCAGGAGAGAGAGATGGGCAGGGCTGGCAGGCAGAGAGAGTAAATAGGAGAGGAAGAAAGAAGAGGGAGGAGTGAGAAAAGAAGAAGAGGAGGACAGCAGGGGCCAGCCAGCCAGTCACACAGCCAGCCATGGAGTAAGAAGAAAAGAAAGGTATACAGAATAAGAAAGGTAAAAGCCCAGAAGCAAAACATCGAAGATGAGAAATGAGATAATTAGGGAAAAACTGGCTAGAAATAAGCCAAGGTGAGGATGTGCATTCATAAGAAAGAATATGTCTCTGTGTATTTATTTGGGAGCTGGGAGCTGGGTGGCAGGTCCCCAAAGAATAAAAACAAAAACAAAAACAAAAAACTATACCAGATAACCTCCAGAATGTATTGTTCCCCCCTGGGTCACCTAGTGCAGCTGGTCCTAGCCAGCAGGTGAACCTAGACTCCAACTCGCAGCCTCCCTTGAAGCTAGGTGTGGCCCAAACAGAGTTGGCATCAGTGGGATGCCAGAGGTGCAAGGGGGTGTCACTTGCTTTCTTGGATGTCTACATGCAACTGGAAAGTTGGCGATGTCTAAGCCCTGGCACGAGCCTGGTCACCAGGGTATGTATTGGGCATACACAGTTGATCCGGGTCCCCCAGCCTGAAAACACTTTATAGCTTAGACCAGTGACTCTCAACAGTGCAGTTCCATCTCCGAGGAAGATATTTGGCAAGTACACAGACACTTGGGTGTCATGCCTCACAGAAGGGGCTACAAGTATGTATGGTAAGAGGAAGTCAGGACCCTGCTGAATGACACAGGACACAAAACAGAACCATCCAGCAAAAATGTTCTGGGTGCTATGAGAAATCCATCTCGAATAGGTAGCTGAGTGCTGTGTGGGTGCCCAGGCGCTGGGCACTCAGGTCTTGACTGCTCAACCAGTCATTGGATGATAGCATTTCTAGGTGGTGGACACTGGATGGGAAGGAGTGTCTCCAGTTCCAGGTGGTGGATACCTGTGGGGGAGGGGTGTCTCCAGAATGCTCAGGTCTTTTTTTTTTTTTTTTTCTTTTTTGAGACAGGGTTTCTCCGTGTAGCTTTGGTTCCTGTCCTGGATCTCGCTCTGTAGAACAGGCTGGCCTCAAACTCACAGAGATCCACCTGGCTCTGCCTCCCGAATGCAGGGATCAAAGGTGTGCACCACCACCACCTGGCTGTGTACCCATTTCTTTCCTCTAAGGAGCCATCTTAATCTACTTTCTATTACTGTGATAAAGACCATGACAAAAAGCAACCTGGAAGGGGGAAGACATTGTTTGGCTTCCGGGTCGCAGGCAATCTCTTCGGGGAAGTCGGGGCAGGAGCTCAAGCAGGGCAGGAACTTGCAGGCAGGAACTGAAAACTTGGGCCATGAGGAGCGGGGCTTACTGGTTTGCTCAACTAGCTTTTATAAACACAACCCAGGACCACATGCCCCACTTCCAGGAGGCACAGCCCACAGAGGGCTGGACCTTCCCATATCTATTATTAATCAAGAAAATGCTCCACAGGCTTACCCACAGTCCAGTGTGATGAAGACATTTTCTCAACTGAGGTTCCCTCTTCCCAGATGGCACTAGCTTGTGTCAAGTTGATAGACAAACAACACCGGAGCCCAGTAGGCGATTAAAAGCATGTTCTCCAGGGCTGAGCTGGGCTGGGAGGGGCTTTTGTTCCTTTGCAACCCATACACACACAGTGTCTCCATGGCAGCCGTCACTAGCAAGGGGAGGGAATGGAAGGGTGGGACCTAGTCACCTTTGCCAAGGAGGAGGAAATCAAGGATTGGGGGTCTGAGCTGAGCATCACTAACTTTAGGAGCAAGGAGCCATGGCAGACATACTCCTGTATCAAGATAGGTCATGCCTGGTGGGCCCTGTGTCCTCACACTCAGCACATCCCAGTGCCCTGGTCTGCATTACAGTAGAAGAAAGAGAGACCTCTCAGTTCATGCCAGATCAGGCTGGACCAGGGTTCAGGATTAGGATACAGTAGACAATGGCCTGCCCTCTGCTCTCGGTCCTCTGGGCCTGAGAAGGGACTTCCGTTGGAAACACAGGGCATCTGTTTTAAAGGGGCAGCAGATCTGTGTACAGGGCACCCCCTGGTGGCCATGTCCACACAGTGCAGGGGTGCCGGCTCCTGAAGATTGCCATCCTAGCCAGGGGCTGGCTCCCTCTCCTGCTCTTGGCCTGTCAAACTCCTGGGCTTGCTCTGTGGGAGGCTCATAGTACCTCAAGAACCAGTACCTCTGCCTGTGTATCCCAGTGAAGGCTCCTCAACTTTCACTCCCTATCTTTCCCTAGAGGCTCTGCCCTTCGCCTTATAGGGGTTGGAGCAGGACACACACATGCAGGCAGACACGTACACACACACAAACACACACACACACACACACACACACACACACACACACACACACACACACACACACACACACACTCATGCATAGGATAGGGCAGCTGTCCAAGCTGCCAGGAGCTAGAAGGTGACTTGGAACTATTAGTCATTGATGTCATGGTCCAGGTTCCTTCCTAATCAGGTTTTGTCTCCAGACCCCTGCCCACTAGTATGAATATAGGACCTCCCCTCCCCCACTTCTGAGGCATGATCCCAGAACCTGGCTTGTCAGGTAAGCAGGGGGAACTTCATCCAGGGTCCACTTCTGATGTCCATCTCTCTCTCCAGAAATCTTCAGTAGCTCTCCTGTGCCAGAAAACGAAGTTCCCACTCCGCAGCCTGGCATGCAGGCCATGTCTGGAGGCCGGCCTCTTTCCTAAGTCGTGTCTCATGCCAGGGGCCATTGCTTACACCATCTTGGGGTTTGAGTTTCTGTTTCCTTCTCTGAGTGTCCAAACCCTGCCACATTGGTTTTATATTTACCACAAAGTGTGTGGCTTCTAACCACTGCCCCATCAGGAGTCCAGCCTGGCATGCTGGGGGTTGGTATGGAGTGGGTGGGTGGGCTTCCAGGCTAGTCCTGGCTGCAGGCACAGAACTCTGTTCATTGCTATGGGAGGGCTGAGGTTCCCACTTTCCCTGCAGGTTTCCAACAGCTTTCAATCTCTAGAGGCCCTGAGCCTTCTCTCTAGGAGGCCGCGCCTCCTCAAGGCTGCTGTCAGTCAAGCTCTCCTGCCTCCTGGATCTTCCCCACAGCCCCTCCAGCTACAGCTGCTGAAAATCTAGCTTTTATGAGCTTGGGGACTCAGACTCAGCCTGGGAGGGTAAGCTCTGATGGAGTCAAAAGACTGTGACTTTACATGCGCCTGTCTTATAGGCTACCACAGTCTTGGGCACTATTGGAACCAGGGCAGGGCATCTTGAAGAACCTACCACACGTCCTCCTTCTGTTCCTGCCCCCATCTGCCTCAGTCCCTGTGGGGATCACCCAGTCCTCCCCTGCAATGCCTTACTACTGACCTCTGGCTGTCCTTAGTGTCCCTCCTCTCACTGGACTGGGGTTCCCAGCAGCGGCTGCAGGGACTTCCCCTCTGCTTCTGCCCCATGAAGAGGTTGAGTGACATGGTGGCCTAGCTCTCTGCTTGACAGGCAGGGGTGACAATCCGATTTCTACGGCTGTGATAACACACCATGACCAAAAGCCACTTGGGGAGGAAAGGATTTGTTTGGCTTACACATCCCGGTCACACCCATCCCTGAGGGAAGTCAGGGCAGGAACTCAAGGCAGGAACTGAAGCAGAAGCCATGGAGGAACTCTGTTTGTTTGCTCCCCCATGGTTTCCTCAGCCTGCTTCTTACACCACCTGAAACCACCTGCCCAGGGGCGGCACTGCTCACAGGGAACCGGGCTCTCCCACATCAATTGTGACTCAAGAAAATGCGCCACAGGCGTACCCACGGGTCAGTCTGATAGGGACATTTTCTCCGTGGAGGTTCCTTCTTCCGAAATGACTCCGGCTTGTGTCAAGTTGGCATATACTACCCCAGCCATTGGCCCCGCCCACCACTCTCTCCTTCTGTTCTTTCATCTGTCTGCCTGAGCTTAGTGGTACCAGCTGCTCATCTAGGGCCAGGGCATACTCAGGGGACCTGGAGCTGGAGCTGCTGAATTTTAGGAAATGTCAGTGACCACATCACTCACATGACCGTCACAGGCTACCACACAGAAGCTGGGGTAGGGGCGGGGGCAGCAACAACCAGGTGTGACTGATGCTAGTGATGTGGTGATTAACCTCAGGGTTCGGGGGAGTTGGGTCAGGTCCCCCTCTTTCCAACCTGGACCACTGCAGGTCACACGTGCCTGCTGCTTCCTGCAAAATCATTCATTCACCCCTCCGTTCATTCAAATAATCACTTAATAGAACACTTACTCTATGCCTCCAGGATAGAGCAGTAAACAAGACATTGTAACGGTCCCTGTGAAGCTTATATGCCAAGGGAAGCCAGACAGATAACACAATGACATCTTTCTTCAAAAGGAGTATCCAGTGTCATATTAAAGAATACCAACGGGTATATTTGAGGGGGAAGGATGTGGAGGGAGGGAGGGCTCTGATATGGACTGCTTAGCAGAGGACAGAACCAGATAGAACCAGAGAGAGAATGCAGCTGGAAGGGACAGCATGTACAAAGGTCCTGGGGCAGAAACTGGTTTGGAGTGTCCAAGCAACACAGAGGACAGAGATGTTAGGAGAGATGGAGGTGGGCTTTTATGCAGTTACTTTATGCATCCATCTGCTCCTCAGTATTCCAGGTCCGTGCCTGGCCTAGACTGGACTCGCAGCACCCAGCTATGATTGACAAATGACTACAGAGTGTGGGGATAAGGGAAAACTTGTTTCGTGGTGTCTTGTGAGGACTCAGAGGAGCTGCGCAGGCAAGGATCCCAGCACACAGCTGTGGTGGTATTGTGTTCCCCAAAATATTGTGCACTCTAATAAACTTATCTGGGATCAGAGAACAGAACAGTCACAATATTAAACATAGAGGATAGGCAGTGGTAGCACACACCTTTAATCCTAGCATTCCAGAAGCAGAGATCCGCGTGGATCTATGTGAGTTCAAAGCCACACTGGAAACAGCCAGACATGGTGACTCATGCCTTTAATCTCAGGAAGTGATGGCAGAAAGCAGAAAGGTATATAAGGCGTGAGGACCAGGAACTAGGGCTGGTTAAACTTTTAGGCTTTTGAGCAGTAGTTCAGCTGAGATCTATTTGGATGAGGACTCAGAGGCTTCCAGTCTGAGGAAACAGGATCAGCTGAGGAACTGGCGAGGTGAGGTGGCTGTGGCTTGTTCTGCTTCTCTGATCTTCCAGCATTGGCCCCAAACTTGGCTCCTGGTTTGTTTTATTAATAAGACTCTTTAAGATTCATGCTACACACAGCGCCTGTCAACTAAATATGAGCTGCATTACCTTTCATATGCCCTCACCTCCACAGCCCAACCCTGGGAGACCATCCCCAAGCACTTCTTGCGAGGGTCCCAGAGAAATCAGTTACTTGAGGAGAATTCTGGTTTCTTCACTTTTATTTTAGGTCTGGGGTGGTTATCCAGGATTGACGAGTTCCTGAGAACTTTCAGTGCTTAAAACTATCTGCCAGTCATGGTGGCATATACCTTTAATCCCCGTACTCAAGAGGCAGAGGTTGCCAGGTCTCTGTGAATTCAAGGCCATTCTGCTATACATAGCAAGTTCTAGGACAGCCAAGGCTATGTAGAGAGACCCTATCTCAAAAACAAAAGAAAAACAAAACAAAACAAAAACCCAACCAAACGAAAACAAACCAACAAAAAACCTGGGAGTGTCCCAGGCAAAGTACCTATACTTAATTCATCTTTATAGCTCACAGTGGTTCACATGGGGATGACTTCCTGCATCCTCCTGCAACAAATCCATCCAGGAATTCATCCATCCATCATTTAACTACCTACTCATCCATCCATCCATGTATCCATCATCCATCCATCCATCCACCCACCCATGTGTCTATTCATCCACATACCCATTCATACATCAACCATCCATCCAATCACCCACCTGCCCATAATTTCTCAATCACCACATTCATGTACCCATCTACCCACCTATCTACCCATTCATTCATCCTTGCATGCACACATCCATCTATGTCTCACCTACCTATCCACCCATGTATTATTTCATCCATCTATGCATGTACCCTTACATGCATCCATCTACCCACCTACCCGTCCATCCATCTATCCATCCATCCATTCCCTACTCATCTATGCTAGCTAGTTTTATGTCAGCTTGACACAAGCTAGAGACATTTGAGAAAAGGGAAATTCAATTGAGAAAACACCCCCACCAGATTGGCCTATGGGGTGTTTTCTTGGCTGATGACTAATGTTAACCCAGATCACTGTGAGCTGTGCCATCCCTGGGCTGGTGATCCTGGTTGTTATAAGAAGTCAGGATGAGCAAGCCTTGGGAAGCGAACCAGTAAGCATCCTTCTTCCAGGGCTTCTGTTTCTGCTTCTGCTTCAGTTCCTGAATCCAGGTTCCTGCCCCGACTTCCTTTGATGATGAACTGTGATGTGGAACTCTAAGCTGAAATAAATCCTTTGCTCCTCAAGTTGCTTTTGGTTATGGTGTTTTATCCCAATAATAGAAACTGTAAGGAAGACAGAAATTGGTATCAGGAGTCGGGTATTGCTCTGACAGACCTGACCATGTTGTTTTGGGAAAAATTGTGGAGGTGTTTGGAACTTTAGGCTGTAAAAGTCATTGAGTGCTCAGAGCTCGGTTGCAGGAACTTGGAACACAATGCACACTGAGAGCAATACAGACAATGGAAGTCTGGCTTGTGATGTTTCAGAGGGAAACGACGGCTCTATCAAGGCCATTTATGTGATATTTTGGATTAAGAACCACTAAAGTAAAACATTTGCTTTGCTAGGACATTTGGTGCTGGTCAGTTGGAGCTGAAGAATCAGTTGTGATTAAGAGACCAGCATCACTGAAGACAAATTTTCTGGGAAATATTTCCTCAAGGTCAGTACACAGAAGCTGTGGTCCAGACGAGCTAAAGCTGTACTTTGTGCTGGTAGCTGAACTTGATAATGTGTAAGAGTCTCCCAAGAGGTACTAGCTTTGAAGGCATGAAGGGGCTTGGCACCATGAGAGACCAGGAGAGGCCATAAATTCATCCATGCCTGCATCCATCTACCCACCCATCCACACATCAGCACATGCCTCAGTTGAAGTAAAGCCCCAAGATTGAGGGGGTCGTGGAGAATTGAGGCTTGGCATCATGTGGTAGAGTCACAGTCCCAGATGAGAACCCAGGAAAGGACATTGGTAAAAGTGCAGCCCAGTTGCCAAGGAGACCCCAGCTTTTTGGAGATGCCAGTATCACAGGATGACCACCAAGGACAGCAACAGCTGTGGAGTGGAGCCGGTCGGAGTTTAAGAGACACACAGCGGTGTATGCTGTGGATGGAGTTTAAGAGACAAGCGGTGTATGCTGTGGATGGAGTTTAAGAGACAAGCGGTGTATGCTGTGGATGGAGTTTAAGAGACAAGCAGTGTATGCTGTGGACGGCAGAGCCAGAGAAGTGTCACGGTCAGCTGGCTTTTGGAGGCCAGAGGATCGTGCGTGGGTCCCAGATGTCAAGCACTTTACACTATTGGACTTTGGTTTCCTTTAATTTGATCATGCCTGTGCCCGATTCTCCCCTCTTAGAGTAAGTATTTAGCTTGGTTTTTGATTTTACAGAAGCCTGCAGTTACTGGATATTTTAGAGAAACTTTGGAATTTTAGAGATACTTTGCATATTTTAGAGAGACTTTGAACTTTTAAAGAAATCTTGGATAATCGTCTAAAGAGACTGAACTTGTAACGTGTTTGAATTTTTAAAGACCGTGGAACCTTTCAGAATTAGAATGTTTACCAGGCATGGTGGTGCACACCTTTAATCCCAACACTCAGAATGTAGAGGCAGGTAGATCTCTGTGAGATCAAGGCCAGCCAGGGCTACATAAAGAGACTCTGTCTCAAACAGATACAAAAACAAAGTTGGAGTGTTTTATATTGTGGTATTAATATTATGCCACCTTAGGGACATGAGAAAGGGAAAATTCTAGTCAAACAGTGATGCGTTTTTGTGTCAAGCTGAAAAGGGACCGACTGTGGTGGCTTGTTTTATGTTACCTTGACACAAGTTAGAGTCCTTTTGGAAGAGGGAACTTCAATGGAGAAAATGCCCCCCACCAGACTGGCCTGTGGGCAAGCTGATGGAGCCTTTTCTTGGTGGATGATTGCTGTCGGAGGACCCAGCTCACCGAAGGCAGTACCTGTATACTCCTGGGCTGGTGGTCCTAGGTGCTATAAGAAAGCAGGCTGAGCAAGCCAAGGGAAGCAAGCCCCCTTCTGCTTCAGTTCCTACCTCTTTCCTGCCTTGAATTCCTGCCCTGATTTCCTTCCATGATTGACTGTGATGTGCTACTGTAAGCTGAAATAAACTTTGCCAAGATGATTTTTGAGTGTGGTGTTTTATCACAACAATAGAAACCCCACATAAGACACTATCCATTTATGAATGTAAGCATTGTCCATCACTCCTATCCACCTACCCATGCATCCATGTACCCATCCATGCACCTACCTCTCAATCCATTCATCCATGCACCTACCTCTCAATCCATTCATCCATGCATTCATGTATGCATACATCTACTCATGCATCATCTACCCACATACCCATTCATCCAGACATGCATCCACCTATCACTGTTTACTCATTTGAAGGTGGTGGACACATCAGAATAACACCATGGCGCATAGGAATGAAGAGGAGGAGGAAGAAGAGGAGGAGGAGTATTTCCAGGTTGAAGATGTTGAATGCCTGAAGTCATACAGGCAAGAATAGCTCAGCCTGGCTGAACCCACAGATAACCAGGCCCTCCAGCTGTCCTGGCTCTGGAGACTTAGGTCTTCTTCATACCAATCCCAACCTAGCCCTGTGGAGAGAAGCTCCCCACCACCACAAAAGTTAGTCTCCACCTTGTCCCACAAATAGTTGTGGCGGGGATCTTGGAGCCAAACCTTAACCATATCTTTTTTTTTTTTTTTTTTTTTTTTTGGTTTTTCGAGACAGGGTTTCTCTGTGTAGCTTTGCGCCTCTCCTGGAACTCACTTGGTAGTCCAGGCTGGCCTCGAACTCACAGAGATCCGCCTGGCTCTGCCTCCCGAGTGCTGGGATTAAAGGCGTGCGCCACCACCGCCCGGCAACCATATCTTTTTTAAACAGCAAGGTCAAACGGTGGGTGGTTACAGGCCCCCTAGAAAGAGCCAAGGCGATGTCGCTTCCCACCTGATGCCGGCAGGGGGCAGCACAACGCTGTGCCGCAGACTCTCCGCGCTATGTTTCGCAACCCTGCATTATGTTTTAGGGAAACTAAGGCATAAAAGCAGGTCGGGTCCAATCAACCAACAGAAGCACCCACTTTTCTCGGCCACATCCCTCTTGGAGAATCCCAGACCAACCCTTGGGCCTCTGGATCTGAGTCGGCTGGAGGTGGGGTGGGAATCCCAAAGCCCCAAATGGAGGACGCGTGGGGATGATCTCGCTATTCCAGCTCCCCCTCCACCCCCGCCGCTGCAGCCACACAAATCTTTTTTGTCTCTCTAACCTACTCCAAGACTGAGGCTGTTGGCGGCGACAGGTGAAGTGGTGCCCAGATTCCCGGGCGTGGTGGGGAACCCCTAATACATCAAGTCCAGCTACGGCTGCAAGCGTCGCTCCCTGTCGCCACGGGGTGGCAGCATCCGCCTGCTAAGCTCCCGGGTAGTTCTGCTCGCTCCCGCCATCCGGCCCAGCTCAGCTCCCTGCCCACGAAGTTGTGCGAAGTCCAGAGTTTTTGGTTTCAGGAGACTGCGGTGTGGGATTGATACTGCTGTTTTATGTCTGTGCCTCAGTTTCCCTGCTCGTGATGTCCAAAGTCTCCTTTCTACAGGGTCTTCCAACCCAAAATGTTCTGCACAGCTGCACCTGCTGGCCTCTGAACCTGGGGCCCAGGAGTGGCTCTTCCCAGGTCATGGCAACAATTCAGAGGATTTGGAGAGATTAAAAGGGGCTTAGGGGCAGGGACGATAGCTTCTGAGCTCGAGGTTTCTGGCCGAGCTGGGCTATGTAGGCCTGAGGACAGAACCCCCTCATACTCCTCCTTATTTCCACACCAGGCAACTGGGTACTGGCTAGTCCTTAAAGACTGAGCGCTCTCTGCCGAGTCTTTTCCCTTGTTATAATGGTTCCATTTGATGCTGTCCCGGACTGAAGACACTTGGAAACCTGGTTTGGGCCCCCCCAGCAGGTATCTGATTACTAGCTGGTCCGCTGAGATAGGACAGACCTAGCTTTGGCAGGCAGGGTCCCTGGCACCCACCTGTCCAGGATAGAATCAAGCCAGACCCACACAGGATGTGCCAGGCACTGAGGCTAGTCTAACGCCCCACTCTGGCTGATCAACATGAATCAGATCCGAGACCCGCATCAGACAACCCTGAAGAGTGAGACAGAGAATCCTCAGACTGGGACTCTCCAGGGATGCCTTCTGATACCTTTCTCTGAGTCTCTGTCATGGTGCCACTCCTAATGGTGGTCAGGCTAGTGTGCCTACCAGTCTTTAAGTCCCAAGCTCTGCAGTGCCGGGCGTTGATCTTTCACCGGAGTTTGCTGGGCAGGCAGCGATGCCTGATCCGGGGGGTGTGGCCCTGGAAGCCCCCATGTGAGTAATGTCTAGGGGGAGGATGTCTGCCCTTAGAAAGGAGATGGTGGTGGGTGGTCTCTCCCTCTTCGACTAGAAACTGGAAACCAAGTGACCACCAGGCCCTGCGCGAGTTTCTTAGCCCCCGCCCCTACCCCCACCCTCACTGGTTCAGAGGAGCGCAGGTGTCTCTTCAGAGCCGCACTCTCCCCCTCCCTCCCCTTCCCACGCAGGCCTGGGAGGGCGATCGGAAGGGAGCTGGCCTGGGGCGGGGGGGGGGGGGGCGCGGGGTTAGATGCGTTCGTGTGTCACGGGGGAGGGAGGAGAAAAGGGAGGGGAGAGCCCGGGAGCGCGCGCGCGAGAGCGCGCTGTGAGCGAGGAGGGCGGGCGGGAGGCGGATCCTCCTACCTGGGGCGCGCTCGCCTGCTCGCAGCTCGCTTGCCGGGGCCGCGAGTCACCTGGGGAGGCGGACAAGTGCGGACACATTGGCCGCCGCGGCGCACCGCGAGGCGCGCACGGCCCCAGGCGGCTGAGCCCAGTGGAGGCAGCAGCGCCCGCCCACCCACCCGCCCGCTGCGCTCGGCCCCGGCCTGCGCTCGCAGAGCCCCACGGTCACTCCGCTGGGCTCCGAGGTCGCGGTTCCCGGCCCGGGTCACTCCCCCGGGCGCACGGGGCGGCTGCGGCGCCCTGGGCTCACCATGGTGGCAACGCGTGCCGGGTGCCCGCGCGTCGCCCGCCGTCCGAGCCGAAGCGCCGGCTGAGCGTGGTCCTCCCACAGCCCCCTGGCCCCTGCCCGGCCCCTGCCCGCCCGCGCGTCCCCTCCGGCCGCAGCTGTCTATGGCGCAGCCCCCCTCCCTGGATCATGCACAGAAACTTTCGAAAGTGGATCTTTTACGTGTTTCTCTG